AAAATGGGATAAAACACTGGGGACGTCTGAAGGGCTGATAATGTCAGTCATGACCTGAACCCTCTTCTCCTACAAAACAGTGAAGGTTAAAGAAATCACCCCACCTTTTATGGAAATGGCTACTGCAAAGAACCATCTTTTCCCATATGACTTAGAGAAGACTTATACATAGATGCCCCCAGTTTACCTATGACACACAGACACAGACCCTCTAAATTTCCATTCCCCATTCTCATAATGATTCTTCATAATATCATAAATGATTAGCTCCACTGTTTGTACCCACTGACCAATCTGGACAAAACACCTGAAAACCTGACCAAAGTTTAATTAGGCTTCTCTCTCCTTTCCCCAGACCCCTGAACCCTGACCCATCTCAGCTCGAGCCAACATCAGAATGTGGGACCGCAACCTCCTTAATGACCCATCAGGAGACTCTGAGTGCAAGGAAAGATGTTTCTTATCCCAACCATCTGATCACACTACCCACTCATCTCACTCCCCATGCTTGATCCTCACTAGCCTTGTTTATTCTTCCCTATTAAAGCAAAGCCCTCTGAGATGTGTACAGACTTCACAGTCAGAGCATTCTCCCTATTACAATAATCCTCTTCCCCCTATGGCAAGAGTTTTTTCAAATAAAGTCTCTTTTCTTAAGTATGAATTTGTTTTTATTTGACAAAATAAGATATAGGCAAATAATGCAAGAAAAACAAGAGTAAATTAAACACTCTAGGAAAAAAATAACCTATTGAATAAAATCATAGTATAGATATGTAGCAAGCTTGAAATGTTGCCATGGTCTGAATGTTATCTCCCCCCAAATTCATATATTGAAGTCTTGATCCCCAAGGTGATGGTGTTAGGAGGTAGGGCCTTTGGGGAGTCATTATGTCATGAGAACAGAGATCTCACAAATGGGATTAGTGCCCTTATAAAGGAGGCCCCACCGAGACCCTTGTCCCTTCTGCATGTGATGGATGTTACAGTGAAAGATGGATGTCGATGAACCAGGAAGTGGGCCCTCACCAGATGCTGAATCTGCCGGTGACTTGATATTGGCTTCTCAGCCTCCAGAACTGTGAGAAATAAATTTTACTAGTTTATAAGTCACCCAGTGCATGGTACTTTGTTACAGCAGCCCAGACAAATGTAGTATGATTTTCAGCAACTGATGAAATCTACAAAAGATACTCTATTTGACATTAAAGCCAGAGGCTCAGGGATAGTACCAATGAGAAAGAAAGCTAATTTTCACTCATTATTGGACACTGGACGATATTCACTCAGTTATAATAATGAAGTGGTATTTAATGGTTTTCAAGTTATAGAACCAACCTATGAACCAAACAGGAAGAACCTAGTTGTGACTTCAGGACAGAAGGTTAAATTTAACTACCTTTTCCAAAGTAGAAATCAAAGTGTAGCTTTGATTTTTTTTGACTAAAAAGATGAGACTTGGAAGGAGGGGGATTTGGAAGAAAGAGGAGGGGAACTCGTACATGTATAGCACTCAAAAGCATCACTCTCATCCTTACAACAAGAAAAAAACTGAAGAAACTGAATACTAATGGTTTTTCTTGGGCCCATTAGAGAACTGAGGTCACAGAGCAAAATGTCACCCTGAAATCTGGAGAGACAAGCTCATCCAGATAATTGCAGCAAAAGCCTTTTGAGTCACAGACTGTAAGGAACACTCAGATGCTAATCTCAACAACTGGTGGAGGCTGAATGTGGACTAGTGTGAAAGTAAGAAACTTGGGGGACCCAGTGTTAGGCACCCCTAGTTTCATGGGCTTTACCTTTAGGAATCCCACCAGCTCCTCACAATGAAGATCTGAGAGAGATCACCTCATGGTAGGGAAAGGGGAAGAGCAATCCTGTGAAATATGTCCAGAACCTTCTCTACAACAACTTCCAAGGGAAAAGACTTTCCTGGAGCCTTGTCTCAGCTTTCAGGGAAGGGCAGTCAGCCAACTCCAGCCCTGTCCCAACCTTCCTGTCTTATCTAAGGCGAGGGAGGTGGGGGTGGGGGAGAACCAGGAAACCTTTCTGAAGGTTGCAGCCCACAGACTCAGTCCATTAAAAGACAGAGATTTAATCGTAAGACTATAGAATATCCCCCCCCCAATATCGTACCACCACATCAACCCAGCTCCAGCATAACAACAGTGGGTTACAATGAGAGAGCAGCAAAACACAGATTCTACTTAAGAAGAGTTCCTAGGGAAACCTAGGACATGCGGATGCTGCTAAGACACATCAGGACAAGTTATGCAGTTGTCAGATTGCTTTCTCTTTTTGCTTTTGGTTGACACAAACCCATTCTAAGTAACCCAGCCAAAGGGAAGTTGTGGAGGGTATTTCAATGTCCATGGGCTGTTTGAGTGGGTATATAGAAGGAACAAAAGCAACTTGCCAGCATGTTTTTTCAGTATTGTGAGAAACATAGTTAACATAATCAAAAAAGACCTGTTTAGCAAACTGGTCAGCTCCTCTTCCTTAAGAAAACAACCACATTCTTGCAGCACTTTCTGCATCTTGCTTATGGATATGTAGCCATTTTTGGATTTATCGATTTTGGTGAGTGTTTTGATGATGTCTTGATAATGGTCCATAAGCTTATCCCTGAAAGAGAATACATTTCAGATACATCCTAAAATCAGGAAAACAATTCTTTAAAGCAAACATTTCATGATTATTCTAATGCAATGATTTGATGGCTCATCTAAGGACTAGTTTTGAAGCTGTTTTGTAGCCACGGTATAACACTGACATTAAAAGGTATCCCAGAAAAAAATTACAAGTGTGTATCATCATCATTTTATTATTGCTATCATTAGCAAAAACTACATTAGAGAAATTACAACCTTGTCTTTTTATTAGAGCTGGGTACTTTAACAATGGAACCAATAATTTACAAATATAGTGATATTACATACAGACACGTGAAACGTGTGTTCATTCTCAATAAATATTTGTTGAGCACCTATGATGTGCCAAATGATGCTCTAGGTGTGGGAACACATCTAGTGACTCAAACAATCATCCCTAGAAGAATTCCATTCCAGTAGGGGCAAGAAGGACAGTAAATAGAAGACAGAAGTCTATTGCACGGTAGGATGGTAGGTTAGTAGGCAGAAAAAACAGCCAATTAGGGAGACTGAGAATGCTCAAAGTGGCAGTGGTTGCAGTTTTAAGCAGGGAGGTGCAGATGGGCCTCACTGGAAGCTTGACACTTAAGCAACGACTGGGATGCAAAGGAGTCAAGTCAGCTGGGGACCAGGGAACAGCCAGTGCCAAGGCTCTAAGGAGTGGAGAAGGGCCATGAGCGAGGAGTGTGGAGAGGCACAGGGGCCCGTCAGTGCTGGGGACAAGGTAGTGCCAGGTAACTCTTGCAGTTTTTATCAGGTATATTTTATTGTTGAGAAACACAGCCACCATTTCATGAACATCAATGGACACATCAGGAGCCATGCTTTTTCATGTAATTTCTCACATTTGATCTGCTCAACAACCCTGCAAGGTACTGTCATTCCCATTTTATAGACAAGGAATAGGACAGAGTCAGAACAAGACCAGACCTTTCCCTCACATGAGGGGGACAGCATTCTGCTGTAGTTTCTAGTTCCAGGGCTGATTATCTTCCAGAGTGTATACAAATCTTTATGATTCAACTTTGTAGTTTGGGAAAATCCTTCTCTGACTTCCAAAAAATTATTGTTCAGGGACAAAAAAGTATGGAAATCTCTAAGAGTAAACATTCTTGCACTTGACCTATGGTGGATAGAGTATGAATTTTATAATTTCAACTCAGCCAGCCCTCTGATAGGTTCTTCCTAACAAACTGAGCAATATGCTTGTCTGGTGGGCTCAAACTCGATCTTGGCTTTGGAGTTATTCCTTAGGCAAAAACATGTGCTATAAATTCTAAAATCTAAACCTTTGGTGGTAACTGTCTACATACTTCAGACATGCATTTGTGGAAGACAACAGTTCCTCGAGCATGCCTGGAAAAAAATAATCCATAGGAATAGAAAAGCCTGAAATCCAGGAGAGGTGAAGTACAGTGGGACTGCTGAGGTTGGTTGGTAGAGGGAAGTGGCGCGTACTTTGAAGCTACGTGGATGGTCTGGAATGGGCTCACACGACATTTGAGCACTTAATACAAATGAGCTGCGTTAATGACTCTGGGCATGTATACCAACAGCAGCAACATTCTGGATTCCCTTACAGGTGTACTTCAATTCAGTCCTATGTTACAGAATGATTACTCATCATCGTAACTATTATATTCCACTTAATCCTTCAAAATGAAAGCAAATGAAGGTATAAAAAAATCAAAACATTTTTGAGATTCATATTTTTAGAAAATTGAGACATTCAGCATTTCTTGGACTGGTTTCTAGGCAGTAATTATTTCCCTTGCAGAGTAAATATGTGCACAGAGTAAATGAGGCTTCAGAGCACAGAGCGCGAACACTGCCAACAGCATGGCGTCAGCCGACACTCTGTGATAAAGCTGCTCTGGGTCGGTGTCTGATCCCTGGTCTGGACAACAAGACAGAGGCCTGAAGAGGACACTGTCATAGCCAGTGGGATGGCCACGGAGCCCTTCACATACACAGCCTCCCCGGTCCCAGTGCTGCAAAAAACCTGCACGTCTCTCCATTTGCATTTTAGCATGGGCCCGTGTTGTGTGGCTCATTTATGTTGCTATTCTGATTCTGAATCTTCAACTGAGGCGCAAGCAAAAAAAGAACAAGGCATAGAAAATAAATGTAAGTTTAACAAAGGATTTTTCTTAATTTTTAACATGCAGGGCACTCCAAACAAAATTAATTCTCTTCGATTTAAGAGGGAAACACAAAATTTTGGTCTTTTTAATTGAACATGACTCCTAGCTATCAATTTGATCAGAGTTTCAGTATAGATGAGGAGGTTAAAAAAAAAATCCTGGAAACATTGTAACTTACAATTCATCAGAAAGACCTACTGACAGTGAAATTTAAAAACAGGTCATCCTGAAGGACAAGGTTACTTGGAAATTTTTATAAGCCAATCTTTTTGAGAAAACAAAAATTGGTCATGCATTTGTCTTCTTTACTAAGAGAGTATGGATGGATACAGCCAAGAGGGGTGGATGAGAGTGGTTAGTTAGCTGGAGCTTGATGCTCTGAAATGTATTATCTCAAGGTATACAGTTTTTTCAGCCACAGACCTATGTTCCACACAGAACAGAGACTACAGGCGGAGAACACGTGTGCTGCGAGTGCCTGGATGCGCAGTTTCTCTCCTAGAGCCTCATTACTCACAAGTGGCAGGAGAGACTAGAAGAGAAGACACGAGCAGGTAATGAGGCCAACCCTGTCTGGTAAAGATAAATTCCACTTTTTCATTAGCTTTATGGCATATTTGATTTATACCAATCTTGTGCATATTTTACTTCAAATTTCACAAACTCAATTCCCTGCCTTCAGGCTTCATAACTCAGTAACTTAGACATAATTCAGGGGTGTGTTCAAACTGCTTTTCTCTTAAACCCCACTTAGCTACCACATTTCATTCCTGTGTCCTTGGCATTCTTAATTTCCTTTGTGGATTCTTTAGCAACAACTCATTCATTCATTCAGGTGCCATGTGAGGTGGTAAGGATAAGGAACTGATTTCTGCCTTTTGAAATGACAGGCAGGAAGGAGATAGATGCACAAACAGGTAAGAGCAAGATGGAGCTAAGGCAGAGCTATATACCAGCAGGAGAGAGCCACACAGAGTTAAGGCAGAGTTATATACCAGTAGGACAGAGCCACACATATAGGGAGTGTGGATGGGTAACCACCAAGCATTAAGACTGATGTCTATTTACCAAGAAAATCTGTCTCTTTGGTGTATAATTGCATCATATGCAGCCTAATTCCTCCTGTTAAAAATATGACATGAGTAACTAGTTTTAAAATCTCAGAGCAGACACAGAGTAGTTGAATAGATTAGAAAACAAGACCCAACTATATGTTACCTATAAGGAACTCACTTCACCTATAAAGACACACTGAAAGTGAAGGAATGGAAAAAGATATTCCATGCAACTGGAAACAAATGAAAGAGCAGGAGTAGCTATACTTATATTAGATTAAACAAACGAAGTCAAAATTGCAAAAAGTTATAAAGAAGGTCATTATGTAATTATAAGGGATCAATTCAGCAAGAAAATATAACAATAGTAAATATATATGCACTCAATACCAGAGCACTCAAATATATAAAGCAAATATGAATAGATCTAGAGGGAGAGATTGCAATATAATAATAACAGGGAACTTCTACAGTTCACTTTCAGCAATGGGCAGATCATCCAGGCAGAAAACTAACAAAGAAACATCAAAGTTAGACTATACTACAGAGCAAATGGACCTAACAGACATTTATAGAACATTTCATCCAACTGCTACAGAATGTACATTCTTTTCATTAGCACATGGAACATTCTCCAGGATACACCATATGTTAGGCCACAAATCAAGTCTCAACAAATTTGAAAAAGTTGAAATCATATCAAGTATCTTTTTTGACCACAAGCGAATAAAACTAGAGGAACTTTGGAAACTGTGCAAACACATAGAAATGAAACAACATGCTCCCAAAGGACCAGTGGTCAATGAAAGAATTAAGAAGGAGATAAAACAATTTATGAAAATGGGAATACAACATACTAAAATCTATAGGACGCAGCAAAATCAATAATAAGAAGGAAGTTTATAGCAATAAATGCAACATTAAAAAACATAGAAAGACTTCACATAAACAATTTAACAATACACCTCAAGGAACTAGAAAACAAGAAGAAACTAAACCCAAAATTAGTACAAAAAAAGAAGTAATAAAGATCAGAGCAGAAATAAATGAAATTGAGACAAAAAATTCAAAAGGTCAGTGAAATGAAAAGTTTTTTTTAAAAAAGATAAACAAAATTAACATACTTTTAGCTAGACTAAGAAAAAAGAGAGAAAATCAACATATATAAAATCAGGGATAGGCTAGGCACAGTGGCTCACACCTGTAAACCCAGCAATTTGGGAGGCTGAAGTGAGAGAATTGCTTGAGTTTGATACCAGCCTGGGCAACATAGTAGGCAACATAGTGAGACCTTGTCTCAACCAAAAAACCAAAATTTATCCAGGTATGATGGCATACACCTATAGTTCCAGCTATTCAGGAGGCTGAAATGGAAGGATCACCCTAGCCCAGGAGGCACTCCAGCCTGGGTGAGAGAGTGAGGCACCTGACTCAAAAATCCATAAAATGAAATAAAAATCAGAGATAAAAAAGGAATAATAACTGAGGCCTCATATATATTTACTGTTGTTATGTCCTCTTGCTGAATTGACCCTCCACTAAGATATGACCCCTTCTTGCTGAAATGTCTGTTTTTACAATTTTGACTTAGTTTGTTTTGGTTAATATAAGATTATATAATAACCTTCTTTGTCTCTTTTTACAGTTTTGCCTTAAAGTTTATTGTATCAGATATAAGTATAGCTACTCCTCTTTTATTTGGTTTCCAGATCAATAGAGGCTATTATGGACAATTTAAAGACTATAAGTCAACAAATTGGAAAATCTAAAAAAAAAAAAAGTGGCACAATCTGTCAGGCTTGAACTATAAAAAAATAGAAAACCTGAACAGACCAACAATAAGTAAAAAGATCAAAGCAGTAATTTAAAAGTCTCCCATAAAAGAAGAACCCAAGACCTGATGGCTTCACTGCTGAATTCTACCAAATATTTAAAGAAGAACTAATAATAATTCTACTCAAGCTACTTCAAAAAATTAAAAAGGAAAAAATACTTCCAAGCTCAATCTATAAGATACCCAAGGACACAATGGAAAAAGACAACCATGGACCATGAAAAAAGACAACTGATGAACCTGTAAGCAAAAGTTCTCAACAAAGTACTAGCAAAATAAATTCAACAACACATTGAAAGATCATTCACCATGATCAAGTGGGTTTATCCCAGGGAGTCAAGGATGATTCAATATATGCAGATTAAAAATGTGATATGTCACATCAACAGAATAAAGTACAAAAGCCATATGATCATTTTAATGGATGCTGAAAAAGCATTTGATAAAATTCAACACCCCTTCATGATAAAAATTCTCAACACAATGGGTATATCTCAACACAATAAAGGATATATATGACAAACTCATAGCTAATATCATATTGAATGAGGAAAAGTGGAAAGCCTTTCCACTAAGATATGGAACAAGACAGGACACCTACTTTCACCATTTCTATTCAACATAATACTAGAGGGTATACCCAGAGCAGTTAAGCAAGAGAAAGAAAAAAAGGGTATCTCAATTAGAAAGTAATAAGTCAAATTATCCTTGTTTGCAGATGACATATCCTTATTTTTTTAAAACAAACCTAAAGACTCTACTAAAAAAAATCTTAGAACTGATAAACAAATTCAGTAAGCTTGCAGGATACAAAATCAATATACAAAAATCAGTAGCATTTCTATATGCTAATGACAGTCAATCTGAAAGAGAAATCAAAAAAGCAATCTAATTTACAATTGCTACCAAAAATAAACTAAAATATGTAATAATTAATTTAACCAAAGAAATGAAAGGTCTCTCTAAGGAAAACCATACACACTGGTTAAAGAAATTGAAGAGGACACACACACAAAATGGAAAGATATCCCATGGTCATGGGTTGGAAGAATGAAATGAGTTGCTAAAATGTCTATATTACCCAAAGTGATCTACAAATTCAAGGAGTCCCTACCAAAATACCAATGACATTCTTTAAAAAAAAATAGAAAAAAAAATTATAAAATTTGGATGGAATCAAAAAAGATCTCCAAAGAGCAAAAAGAACAAAGCTGGAGATATCACACTACCTGATTTCAAATTATACTAGAAAGCTGTAGTAATTAAAACAGAATATACTGGCATAAAAGCAGACATGTAGATCAAAGAAACAGAATAGAGAACCCAGAAATAAATCCATGTAATTATAGCCAGCTCATTTTTGACAAAGGCACTAAGGACATATATTAAGGAAAGAACAGTTTCTTTAATAAATGGTGTTGGGAAACTGGGCATCTATATACAGAAGAATGAAACTAGATCCCCAACTTCCACCATATATAAAAATCATTCAAAATGGATTTAAGACTTAAATGTAAGAAACTACTAAAAGAAAACACTGGGGGAATGCTACAGGACATTGGTCTGGGCACAGAGTTTTTGGGTAAAGCCTCAAAAACATAGGCAACAAAATCAAAAATAGCAAAATGAGATTACATGAAGTTAAGAACCTTTTGCATAGCAAAAAAATAACTCTATTTTTTAACAAAGTGAAGAAAGACAACATACTGAATGGGAGAAAATATTTGCAAACTATCCATCTGACAAGGGATTAATAACCAGAATATATAAGGAACTCAGACAACTCAATAGCAAAAAATCCCAAAATAATTTGATTTAGAGATGGGCAAAGTACCTGAATAGACAGTTCTCAAAATAGGACATATAAATGGCCCAGAGATGTATGAAAAAATGCTCAACATCACTGGTCACCAGGGAAATGCAAATTAAAACCACAATGAGATACAATCTCACTCCAGTTAGAATGATTATCACCAAAAAGAGGAAAAGTAACAAATGCTGGCAAAGATGCAGAGAAAGTAGAACATGGTCACACTGTTGGTGGGAATGCAAAGTACTATGGAAAACAGTATGGGAGTTCCTAAAAACACTAAAACTAGAACTATTATATGATTCAATAATTCCATTACTGGGTATGCATCCAAAAGAAAGGAAATCAGTACACTGAAAAGATGCCTGCATTCCCATGTTTATTGTAGCACTATTCGCAATATCCAAGAAATGAAATCAATCTAAGTGTCCATCAGTGGACGAATGGATAAAGAACATGTGGCATATATACAAGATGGAATATTATCCAGCCATAAAAAAAGAACAAAATCCTATCAATTACAGCAAAATGAATGGAACAGGAGGTCATTATGTTAGGTGAAATAAGCCAGGCACAGCAAGACAAATATAGCATGTTCTCACTCATATTTGAGAGCTAAAAAAGTGGATTTCATGGAGATGGAGAGTGAATGGTGGTTGTTAGAGGCTGAGAAGAGAATGGCAGGGAGGTGGGAGGAGGATGAAGCAAAGTTGGTTAAGGGGCACACATACAGTAGACAGGAGGAGGCAATTGTAGTGTTTGCTAGTACAGTAGGGAAATTATAGCTATCAATAATTTAATGCATATTTCAAAATATATAGAAGAGAAGATTTGTAGTATTCCCAAGACAAAGAAAAGATAAATGTTTGAGGTGATGAAAACCCTAAATACCCTGATTTGATCATTACACGTTGTATACAGGTATCAAAATATCATATGTACTTCCAAAACATGTACAACTGTGAAATATCAATTTAAAAAATTAAAGTATACGTGGGAGCAAAATGGTCACAAAGATGGAAATAATCGACGCTATGGACTCCAATATGGGGGGAGGGGGAGGAGGGTTAGGGTTCAGAAGTATGGGGCACAATGTTCACTCTCCGGGGAATGGGCCACCTGAGACCCAATCTCCACCATTACACGATATGTAATGAACACGCATGTGTACCCCTGAATCTAAAATTCAAAAAAATCAAAAAAGAGAAAGTAATCGTATAGGCTCTCACCATCCAACTATAATACATTACAGCATCTTCTGGTCCTTGTGCATATGCACATACATTTTACATCATTCCAATCATGGTATACATCTAGGCAAAATGCCACTGCCTTTAGTCCTTTATCATCAACATTTTTCATGTTTCCTCCCAATAATTTCAGCAGGCATATAGTATTTCATATTCTTTCAGGCCACACTGTGCTAAGCCAGTGTACTAATTTAGGATTAGAATGTGTTTCCTTTGTTGTTGTTGCTGCTGTTATGCACTGCAAATCATACCTCCTAGTTGCTAAGCTGTTGGCTCCTTATCAATTATTTCTTTGGGATAAAGTCCCTAAAATAGAAGCTGTGAGTTAAAGAATGTGTTTGTTCATTTATTCAACAGATATTTACTTGGTGCCTTTTAGATGTCAGACACTGGAAAAAGTCACAAACAGCCCTATGGATCCTGCAATCTAGTCAGGTCAAAGGAGTAGCCAGGAAATACACCATATACACTAGAAAGATAATATTCAAGGTTAACCTATAAAATATGAAAGAATGATAAAAGATTGTGACTGGGTAAGGCGGAACCATTCTTTGATTCAGCACCAATTTCTAGCATCTACAGCAGTAAATGAGTATAATAATTTCATTAAAATTTGGCTGGCACTGGATGGTACATGGTAAAATGACTTTTGCTGCAAGGTTCAAGGTAGAATAGAATGTCTGGATGAATCCCACACGTCATATACACTCACCTGGCTGGTGTGTTCTTCTCTGTGCTCTGCTGCAGCTCCCTCATCTCTTCTTGTACCTGCTGTTGCTTTGTGAAATGACCCATGAAGTTGAAATAATCCTCTGCATAGGGCCGATGGACAGTTGGTGAGTAGTTAATACCCAATTTCTGTAAAAACTCTTGGTAAGTAATGTGCCCTTTCCCCTCAGTGTCGTAGCTTAAAACAACAAAAACAAACAAAAAGCTCTCATCAGTAGTCACGAAGGCATGATGAAGCTCAGAGTTTTGACGATTTCTGTATCACCTGTGAGGAGTTCAGACCCTGTTCCTTATCACTCACAGTGTGACCTGGGAGGGTCAGAAATGCACAATCTCAGGTCTCACCCCAGACCAAATCAAATCTGCATGCTAACAAGATTGCCAGGTGACTCACAGGCACATCAAAGTTCGGAAACTATTGCTCTAATCAAAAGAGTGATCACCTCACATGTGGCCTGCACCAAAGTCAGTCACCTATCATTTTGTTAGGAACACAGATCTGACTACAGAAAACGTCAGTCCCTCCATACATTCAACATTTTTTAAAAAAATCAAGTACCTACACGTAAAATAAACCATACTAAGGTTTAGAAGAAAATTCCTCAAAAAGCATATTCAATCTTAAAACTTGAATAAATGAATGCCACTTGATTCAAAGATGGTAAAATTCCCATTTTCTCTTTGAAGAGATGCCAATTACAAGCTGCCAATGAGAGAGACCAGCAAGGAAAACAAGATAAGAATTATGCCGTGTACCTTTTATGTCGTTTTCTATTATTGAGATTTTTTTCTGAATTATAACTCATTAAAAAAGGCATAATGGAGGGTTTTTATCTCCCCAACGTTATTCAAATAGAATAGAATTACTTCAATAAAAAATTTAAGGCAAATTGCCAATTTTCTTTAAGAAAAAAAGAATTTATTTTTATAGAAAGATCTTGGTCCTCATCTAATCGATAAAAATGGCATTTGTGGATGTGATTTTCCCCAGATGAACTCAGAGTTACAAGGAGCGGGACTATATTTAAACAATTTTGTGAGCATAATTCTTTCATCAAGACATTGTTGGCTATTTGACTGAACAGAAGCACAAGTAGTTTTCCTTTGAGAGGCAGAGCCTTCCTCACTCTCTTGTTAACTGATGAGATCCTGGAGGGTCTATGGAACTCACAGTCTCCTCTGACACAATAAGTCCTATGCGACTGTTTTAGTTGAATAACAATGAAGAAAACATGCTTACTTACCTGTATTCTTGTCCTTAAGGGGTAGGCTGATGGGTAGACTAGATGGGGGTAAGAAGTTTGGGTAAATGCTTCATGCACTTGCACTAAAATGTGTGGAGGATCCCAGGAGTTGGAAGGCCACCACCCTGCCCAAAGGCCTGTGGGCCTGATCCTCAGGTGCTCACAAGAGCCCAAGGCCTTTCCCTCTCCCTGCTCTTCATCCTTCTGAAGTTTTCCTTTGCTGTGTGTCTGATGTCTACCTGCCTTGTTCAGCATCCAGGCCTGTTCCTCACATGGACTCCACTTTCCAAGGGAGAGAAAGTTCCCTTTGTTGATATCTTTCCCTTCATTGATGGTGGAGCCATAGGGTGGTGAATTCTAAATCAAACACCAGCTCGCTGGCTCTGAGACCCTGGTAAGACCCTTGCCCGCACCAGGGCTCGATTCCTCACCCAGGAGCCAATCTGGGTCATCCTAGATGTGATATTTCACAAGAGCCCTGCCCTGCTACTGCTGTTACTGTTATTGATGTAACTCCTGGAGGCCTTTCCGAGTATCTGCTGTGAGTATGACCTTAATACCTGCAACCCAAAGAAGTATCACTCTACCTTTACTCAGTGAATTTTGTTCTTAAAACACAACAAAGCAACATATCCACACAAAGAGTCCTGTGGGATCTTGGTCCCTAAGGCTCCTCTCATGACTACAGAAGAACTGAGGTTGCAGGCAGCTAGCTGGTAGGGGCAAGGCCTCCAGTGAGGGTGTTCCCTGCTGCTGGCTGTGCTGAGACAGTTGTGGAAAGGAGAGTTTGCATCACATCAGGATGCCTAGAGTGATTCCAGGCATGAAGTGTTTACCCAAACTTCTTACCCAGGGCATCTCTCCTTGAACTGCACCAGGATTGTAAGTAACCTTGTGCCACAGAGTGATGGAATAATGAAACTCTGGTCAAGACACTCCCTGAATAAAGCTTCCAGGGATTTTCTACTGTGACAGGAGAGTTCCTGACAGAATGGTCCACAGCCCAACAGCTGACAAACCCCAGGCAGCAGTGTGCCGCTTTTGGAAACTTCTGTTGCCTCCTAAGTCAAAAGTACTGTGATTCCGCCTTCCTCTGAGTACCTCCAGGCATGGTGAGGATGAATGGGTTAATACAAGTAGAGACCCAGAGCAGGGTTGGATACATGGGAGTGTGTGTCGGCATGTGCCGTTGCCATTTGCCACCCAAAGGCTCCACCATGTCCTGCCTTGTCCCAGTTCCTAAGCCTGTGTCTTACCTCCCAACTAGATGGCAAGTTCCTTAAGGAGAAACTATGACTCATTCATTTTTAGAAGCTCACGGTACCCACCAACACACCTTGCACGATCTACATTATTAATTCATGAAGCATACTTCTAGGGAAGGACAGCCCTCCTGGTGTGTTACGCTCCAGGGATTACCAACAACAAAGTCTAAATCATGACACTTGAACTGAATGAAAAGGCACTTCTTAATTACTTCATTAATAAAGATCATAAACATTCTATTCTCATCACAAAGGAATAGAAGACCAGATTGTACAACTGCAACTAAAATATTGTTATGAATGTGAATAATAAGAGAGTTAATTCAGCTTACATAACCTCACCCTTCATTATATAATCCTTTGTGTAACATTTAAAAAAATCAACTTGCCTATAAAGGTTGAATTTTAAAATGGTTTAGCAACAGATGTGCCAGGAAAAATGTGCACATAAACAGAGGACCCATAAAAACTTGCATTTGCATAGAGCAATAGCCACTAATTTATGATATAATCAGATTACTCTGCCCATTTATTGTACACACAGTGACTCTGGTGTATACAAAATTTGGGTATGTTAACATTGATTGTTTTGCTTTGCTGAGGAAGTCCTTAAGTCAGCTTAGGCACTTGGCTCCAACCTAAATTTCAAAGTGCCTTTGAATGCCACTGGCCCCAGGGTGAAAGGGTACAATTAGGAGGTTTGGCACAAGCTGCACCGATGGCCCAAGCCATGCAGCAGAGGTAGACACAGCACCTTGTGCAGCTGGGGACGTGAGGAATTCTCTCAGAAGCGATCTTGGAGGGTGGTCTGAGCACTCACATGGCTGCTGTTCAGAAATGAAACCGTGCAACTGCCGAAGTCGGGCATGCCCAATGGGCACATTCAGTAAACCCTGACGGAACCACAGAATAGTAGACACCATCTGCTCCAGGGTCCATCCAGGGCCCAATTCCATCCTTCATGCTCCCCAGTAAGTGGCAGACTAGCCTTGGATAAAGCCATGCCAAGGATGAGAAACCTACTTCCTTCAAAGACTGTCCGCTGGAGTTCTAGATGATGTTAATTACCAGAAGGTTCTTTATGCTCTTAGAGCCACCTAGGTAGCACACCTCTGAACTCAACCCCTACCTTCGTGTCTCATTCAATCTTCTCTTTTCTAGGCTCAAGATTCAGTTCACTCAACCTTTTGCAACCCTCTTCCATCTCAAGGTTCTCTGTCTCGTTGCTCCACTAGCTGGGCACTGAGGAGGTTCTCTCTGGGCACTGCCTTGGCTGAGTCAATAGACCTTGCCTCTTCCTGTGATCTGCAAACCCTAAATCTTTTTATTTTCACATGAGCTACTGCATATGACATGGGTGCTTTTTCACAGTCTCTTCTTTTTATATTTGAATACTAATATATACTTACCTACCATATCAAGAAATGTACATAAATTAAGCATTCATTATCTCTCCTAATTTCTGGTGTCTGCTTAGTTAGCTGGTTTGACACAATAATTTACACGGATACTTTCTGAGACTGCTGCTTTCCTTCTTTGGTCTTCCCTTAGGTACAGAGTTTTCAAGCTAAGTTTGTTTTGGATCCAAAAGAGTTGAATTAAAGCTACAGAGGAGGCTGGGAACACAGAGTGCCTCCCCGCAGGGGTGCCTCCAGGGCCTGGGGCAGTGACACTGAATGATACCTTGGGCCTGGCCTTTTCCTCACTGGGATGGACTGTCTCAGGTTCTTCAGAATGACAGCACCCTGGTCCTCAGCATCTCTTTCCTTTCTGTCCTAGGACTTCCAGCTCTGGGCCTTTGCTCAGGGATGATGCCCTTTCCTCTCCTCTGGTGTCTTCTCCTGGCTAAGACTCAACTCAGGTGTTTTATCTCCTGAGAGTCCTTCCTTGGACACCTGTGCTGGCCTTCCACCCTTCTCCCGCCTGACATGTGACTGTTGACACTGTGCTTGTATGCTAATCTGGCTATGAGCAACCTGTGGGTAAGGGGCTGTCTTTCATTTTTAGAACCCTCAAATCTAGCACAAGGCCTGGCATATAGAACATTTCAAAAAATACTGGTTTTTAATGGCTGATCAAATGAGTGAATGAATGAATACACTTCCATCTTGTAATTTATTCACAGTCTCTCCAAAGTCAAACTAAATGCATTGCCCCTGAAATCTCATGCTTAGAGCACCTCATCTGCTTCAGTGGGCAGGATTCCTCTCACAACAGCCTCCTCCAGGCTGGCAACGCTTTGTCCCTTTAACCCTCTCCAGGACAGTTTGTGACATCTGTGACTCACTTGGCGTCCCTGTGCCTGCTGCCCATCTTTCCAGTCCCTTAGCAGAGCTGGGGCCCCTGACCAGCCCTGGGCAGAGGGCCAGGAGCAGAACGGTGGCATGTGTCCCCGAGGGCCTATGTGTGATCCCTTAGCTCTGCAGTCCCCGCTTGGGTGGGTGGAGTTTCCCATTGAGATGATGAAGCCACAAGCTGAAAGCCAGCCAGGCTCCTGAATTACTACTTGGGAGAGAATGGTCCATAAGAGCCACTAGACACGCAGCAGGCTTTGGGCGAAAGAGAGTAGAAGACGGATGCACAAAGCTACTGAGATGTGGGAGTTAATTGATTAATTTACTTCTACAGCATAAACTAGACCCTCCAGACTAGTGTGACGCTCCAAAATA